TGCGAAATGCCCCACACTACAGGATGCTCATTTGTCATAAGCTCCCCATATGGCCTGGAGAGAATGCCCTTCCCTCCCAAACATGATGAAAACTAGGCATGCAGTATTGTGGTAGAGGATCGTATTTTTTTTACCTTTCCTCCCACGATGAATGCTAATCTGCTAGAGGTAGCTTGGAACTGAAGCGGAGGGCGGCGTCCGATGCAATGCTTTCCAGTAGGAAAGCATTAGTGCTTCAGACATTACCCAGGAGATTAGGAAGCACCATGTGGGAATCATTTCCAAGAAGCATTTAAAGGCGGGTTCACAATGTCACGTATGCTGTATACATGGGCAGTGTACTGGAGAAAGCACACCCTCCCCTATAGAAAGTGTGCAATCTGAATCTGAGCCAGTTATTAGAGAGTGGGACTGACGCAAATCTTCTCTTGGGGCAATGTAGCTAGCCTATCATGGAGGTGGTCCACCTCTTCCTCACCACCACTCTCACTGCTGCTCATTCACTAGTCCTCTCTCTCTGGGCCCAACTTTCAAAAGCACCTAGAGGGCAGAGCAAGTGGGGGAAAACTGTTCCCTCTTGTCACTCTCGATATCGCTTACATGCTGGGGGAGGCAGTTGAGGAAGCTGTGACAGCAAGGAGGAGCAATGCTGAGAGGATCCAGGCCTTGGCACTGGGGCACTCTGGAGGGGTATGGGCTGTGTGAGTGTCTGAGGTTACTAACTTCTGACACAGTTCTGACTCAGTGCATGTGCTGGGTGTGAGCAAAGGAAAGGCGCTTAACAGGGTGTAGTAAGCATCCTGTTGCTCTGTCCCAGCTCCTGCCAACCTAGCAGTTTGAAAGCATGCAAGTGCAAGTAGATAAATAGGTACCACTCTAGCAGGAAGGTAAACAGCATTTCTGTGCGCTTTGGCACTCGTCACAGTCCTCTGTGTGCTAAGAGGACCCGTGGACCCAGAAAGCTGTCTGTGAACAAATGCCAGCTCCCTTGGCCTGAAAGCGAGATGAGCGCCGCAACCCCAGTCACCTTTGACTGGACTTTACCGTCCAGGGGTCCTTTACCTCCCCCCCCCTTGCATAGGGATGGATGGATCTTCCATTTTGGTTCTCTCACTGTCTCATTTTCCCAATCTTAAATTCAGTTCTCCACATTTCTCCAGCAATTTGCATTAAAAAAAAGTCATAGGTATTGTACTGCAAATTTCTGCCAATAAACACATTTTTACATTCAGTTTGAGGGACAGGGGTGGTGCTGTGGGTTAAAACACAGAGCCTAGGACTTGCCGATCAGAAAGTCGGTGGTTTGAATCCCCGCGACGGGGTGAGCTCCCGTTGCTCTGTATCAGCTCCTGCCAATCTAGCAGTTCGAAAGCACGTCAAAGTGCAAGTAGATAAATAGGTACCGCTCTGGTAAACGGTGTTTCCGTGCGCTGCTCTGGTTCGCCAGAAGCGGCTTAGTCATGCTGGCCACATGACCCGGAAGCTGTACGCCGGCTCCCTCGGCCAATAAAGTGAGATGAGCACCGCAACCCCAGAGTCGGCCACGACTGGACCTAATGGTCAGGGGTCCCTTTACCTTTACCTTCAGTTTGGACAAATGTACACATTTTGGCCAGTAATTTCCCCAGATAGTCTTTTCACTAATATGCTCATTTTCATGCATTTTCACCTAATATGTGCATTAATGTAAACATGATTGGCCCGAGAAGTGCACTGCAAAATTCAGATAAGTGTGAAATTTGAACAGCTGTGTTTGCCTTGCGTATTGTTTCAGAAAGAATTTGACAAGACTTGCCTTTAAATGTGAGCTGAATCAGATTTCTACCCCATCCTTACTTGTGAAGCCCTTCAGAATGTTGATTTGATATGGATTAAAGATGGATTGTGTTGTCCATCTCCCTGCTTCATCCTGAAAAATAGACCTTCCCCTTGCCATGTCAAAACAAAGGGGGATGTGTGTGTATCTTTAAGCAATTGCTGATATCCTCGGCAAAGGGAGATCTGTTTGGTGTGGAATCTACTTCGTTCTGCATCTTTTCTCCAATGCACATCTTAAGCCTAGCTCTGTCAACCAGGTGCTGGAATATTTTAAACACTGTGCATTTTACTGTTTTTTAATAATTGCAGTGTTTTACTGCTAAAATCATGAGCTGCTTTGAAATTATATATAAGGCTGGATATAAATATTGGAGATGCAAATATAATTGCAGCCCTGCTGTCAATGCTGTGAAAATCTCCTGCTTCCCAGCACTTACAATTCAGCAGCAGACACACAAGTTGATGCAGCGGTGGTGGTCCTCTTCGTTTGGGAGGCAAATTAACATCTCTAAAAATGCTCTCTGGCATGTGTTTAAGTGGGCCTGTTTATGCAATCATTTATTCTGCAAGGACAACCCCAGATTCACTTCAGCCTCTGATTAGTTTAAAGAGAAACTCTGATGTATTCAGAGGTAAATTGAAGCCTGAAGTGTCTTGAAAAAGAGCCAACACTCCCCAGCAAAGTCAGTACTGTAACTGTGAATTTAGTTCCTTTTCCTCCTGTGATAAATAAATGTGTGTTGGGTGATTAACTTCTGGACCAGATTGGGAAATGTTTTTTTTTTTTTTCCCTATCCTGAGGAGCACATGCCAGTGGCAGACAGTGCCAGATGCAAAACGTTCAGAGATTCACCTTGATCTAATCATATACTTTAGGCCGGGGCGGGGAGCTTCTGGGCCACACAGCAAATGTGGCCCACCAGGCCTTTATCAGGAAACGATGCCCGTTTGCCCGACACCCCACCCCACATCAGGGGCGGCATGGGTAAGGGTGGGACTTCAAAGGAACAATCAGGAGCTTCCTTGGATCCAGAAAGGTGAGTTCCCACCCGCTGATGGGTGGATGGGAGCCTGCCTTTACCCTATGCAGCATTTCTTCTTCAAACCACTGCGAGATGGTTAGAATGTTGGAAGGCAGACGCCCAATTTCAGATCATGCCTGCAACTGCAGAGGTTTGAAGGAGAAGTGCAGAGGAGTGGGCATTTAAAGGTGTGTTCCCATCCTCCCCTCAGCTGATGGGGAGATTAGAAGGCACTTTCCAGGAGTGCCAACTTGAATAAAAATTGGGGGGGGGCAGGTAAGCCCTGCCCCGCATAATCAGTCACAAAATGTGGCGCGCACACATCATCTGAATGCCAATGCCCATCAACCTTGGGGCCCCAGACCCTCAAAAATTTTATGGGGGGCAAAGGGAGCTCAGCCCCTAGATGTTGGCTCCTATGATTCAATTGCAGACCCACCAAGTGTCCCTATTTTCCAGGGGCAGTCCCTGATTTAGAGAAGCCATCCCGGTTTCTAATTTGATTCCAGAATGTCCTGCTTTTCCTTAGGACACCCCTATTTTCATTGGAGAAATGTTGAGGGTATGGAGTTATCTGACCCCTGCGCCATCTGAAGGCAGCCCTGTATAGGGAAGTTTTTAAATGCTTAATTATGTTTTCATATTTGCTGGAAGCTGCCCAGAGTGGCTGGGGAAGCCCAGTCAGATGGGTGGGGTATAAATAGTAAAATTATTGTTATGGAATGGGACGTTCCTGTTTTTATCAGAGAAATGTTGGAGGGTATGCAATCGCTCCCTTGCTGGGTAGTAAACCCCATTGAATTCAACAGGGATTACCTCTGAATAAACATGGATTGAATTGTGTGGCAGGTTTTCTTTGTGTCTTCTCTGAATTAAAGAATAAAAAACCACTGTCATTTCATAACATAAGTAACTACCAGATTTGAAGGCAGCTGAGTTATCCTTGTATGGTTACTAGTTACTGGGAAATCCAAAGATATATTGTTCTCCTGAATGGTTTTCTATGGGCCATGCCAGAGTCTGAGCTTCCTGTGAGTTTAGCTTCTGGGTCTGTAATCTTTGGCCTACTTCTTGCTCTGGAGAAGCTGAAAAACAAACATGGCTTTGGTTCAAGTCAGTGGCGAAGCTTCAGGACCAGTGTTGCAAGGCCAGCTGGGATGCATAGATTTAGGTCTTCCTGGCAGGAGGTGAATCTCTTTTGTAAATGAAAATCTATGAATTTTTAGCTGCACAACCAATACGTGTGACACCAGCTTGCATTGCGGCCCTGAACTTTCCTCTGTGTTCAAACAGTTCTCGATTAGCACTTGCTGTACAGGTCTGTGACCTTTTTTTTCAAAACGTTCTCTCTCTCCCCCCCCCCCCTTTACGAGTTTATTTTGGCTGCTCCTAGGCATTCATAAAATTCCTAGGGAACTGGAGGTTTTAAGCAAGGCTTGTAAAAAGCCTGGGGAAAGGGAGGTGGGAGAACAGGTCGGGAGAGGAGTTTTCCATGACCATGTCAGAGCCTCCCTTATGGGAGTTTTACACCTTTCAAGTCCTTTCTTAAAGCAGCCAGCTTCTGAAAAGGAGAGGCGTGGAGAGCAAACCTCTGTTTCTTACTTGGGGCGGCATGTCTGTGCGTTAGGCAGAGAGAGTTTCTGCCCCCCCAACTCTCTCTCTCTGTGTTTCCCTTGTCAGTCATCCCTCTAGAGCTTTTGGTCTTCTCAGCAGGTCACCAGAGTTGGTGAACAGCTCAGAAAGCACAGGGCATCTGAAACAAATTAGATCTCTTATAGCCACCCAGAGACCGATGATGGATGGAGGTCTGTATTTACAGCAAAACTAATTGGCAACATACACAGACATCTACACGCACCTCCCCCATGCAAGAAAAAAAAAGGGGGGGAGTATATTATTTTGCCAGACTTCAGAATCACTGGGACGGTTTTATAATTGTAGAACATTACACTGCTCAATTTTTTTAAAAAAAAGAACAGTGAAAGTTTTCAATCTAATAAAAGCATTTGACTGGAGAGTTAAAAATAACAGGGAACAAGGAGTTTGATTTGGAAGTGAGTTTTATTCATGGACTTTGCTTGACAAAAATGTTTCCAATTATAAAACAATTCAGAAAGTGCTGCATTAATAAATGCCCTCCCTTCCTTCTCTGTTAAAGGGGCTGAGATTTTAAAAACTGAAGTGGATAAAGGGGGCGGGGGGGAATATGGAGAGTTATTAAAATATAATTTAATATAACCTGCATAAAGTACATCTATACCACAGATGGAGTCTATTGCATGAAAAAATCTGAAACAATACAAAAAAAGTTGACTTAGTAACTTAAGTGTGAGCTGCTGATTTTTAAAAGCAACTCCTCTTCCAGCTCAGGAACCTATTATATACAACAAACAGCAAACAGGACCCCTTTCTTTTCATGTCATGTTGTTGCTGGGTTTTCTAAAAGGCTGGGAAAGAGAAGGGATGGAAAAGGAAGAATAAATTAGTAGCCTGAAATCTAATTTGTTGCATTGTTTAAATCAGTGTTTGCTAATAATATTTTCTGTATTGCATATAGAGAGATGCTGCACAGGCAAACTTTAAAGTGGTATTACTGGATGACAGGGAAGAAAGAACCCACTTTGGAGGGGTGCACAAGTTTTGAACATGGAAACAGTGTGCACATCTCACCATGGGGTGGGGGGTGGGAGTGTGATTTCTTTCTCATACATTGCAAAGAAGAATAGACAGCAGAAAGTGCAAATCGCTTGTACTTCCTATTCCCTTCACAGTCAGTAACACACCAAACTGCTATTATTCCAAGAGATTATTATGAATTTCCCTCAGTATCTGAAACTAGGAAGGTTACTCCCAGATCCTTTATCTATTGTACTAAAGCAACCTACCTCTCCTAAATCTGTATATAGTCACTACTAAGGTTTAAAGGATATTGGCTGTATTGAAGTCAACTACTGCTAAATCACTTAAATCCAAGCACCTGCTTTCTGTTTTGTTTTTTGAAAAGATCGCTGTGTTTCAATTCACTTTCCCAGAATAAAGCAATAGCAAGAATAAATGGATTGAGGATTGCACTTAATACTCTTTTGCACCAGGATAAAACATTACTGTGTATGGCCATCAGTTTTACTTAAGTCAACAATCCTGTGAATTGACTGAAGATGACAATTATTACAGACTGTCCGCTCCCAAAAGGTTCCTTAAACAGCAACAGACTTAGGTTTCTCCCTTTGATATATATATCTTAAATATTTTGTTTGGCTACATTAAAGATGAGGCCCTAATTCTTACTTATAATAAAATCTGCTGACTCTTCTTTGGCAGTAGAAATGGGTTTACAAGATTATAAAATCCGCTGACTCATGTTTGGCAGTAGAAATGGGTCTACAGGATTGTGCAAACCGAACTTGCGAGACTATTTTCCACCATCCCACCAGTTTCTATAGAAATTAGAGAGCAGATTTTCTACCAAAAGGGAATTCCTGCTTCTGCATTATGGTTAATGTTCTATTTGCTTCCTGTCTCAGTTAAGTTTGCTCTCTCTCCCTCTCCCAGATCTGGGAAGCTGTGCCTTGTATAAACAACCATCAGAAAGCACTGGAGTATGTGAACACTTAGTTCTGCTGAAAACACAATCATTGTGTTATTCCAAGTTGATGAAAACACCCTCTGCAGTTTTCCCTCGCAAGGTCCACATGCCAATCAGCGTTTGTCAGTGATATAATTTTCTCCCATAAACACAACCTTTGTACAACTTCCACTCAGAGTAAATAGACATAATTCCCAAACCAAATAACGCACGTCGAAGGGAAATGGAGATTATACAAGGGAGAGACAGGAGGAAGAAAGTTACATGAGAATAGCTCTAATTGCAAGTGTATGTGTGTAAGGGGGTGGGCTGTGGGGCAGTAAGGGATGGGGGTGGGGGGGAGAAACCTCTTCTAAGGAATCAGGCCATGGAAGGGGGAGCTGGTTTATTTCTTCACACTGCAAAGAAACTGGTTAAGGCAAATATTTGGGGAAAATGTTTTTATGCTTGTTGATGGTTTGAGACCACCAGGTTTTGCTGAAAGAGGGATTCAGGCTGTTTATGGACAAGGAAAACATTTGTGTTACTGACCTGTCTAAAAGGAAATGGACAATATGCATTGTTAAGAGACTGTTGCTTCCTCTTCTTCAGTCTTTGCCTGAGGACATACATGGGGCCCATTTTTTTATTTCCTTTTTCCAAATAAAAATGTTACGTTTTCCTAGGGCAGTTTTACGGAATGTGGGACATGAGCTGGATACCATTGTTTTGACAGAGTCTGAGATGGATGGGACTGTTGCAATGTCTGTTCATGGTACTCGGGATACCTTTCCACTTGTGTCGCCTGAGGACATAGACAAACTACCTCAAGGATTGAGACCTGCCATCTGTTTTCAGGACTTTTGTCCATCCTGACTTGTGAAATCCACCAGGGATAGGTGTTTGGACCTTTGAAGGTGGTCAAGGCCTCCTTGAGCAATGGGGCAGTCTTCACTGTTTTGAAGCCTAATTCAGATCCAGTGGTTTCTGATAGTTATAGCCTGGCTCAAATTTACAATTATTGAGGAGGGTGTCTGAGTATGTGGTTGTTCCTTGATGCTAGGCACTGATGCTAATTATTTAGATGTATACAAATTTCATTACAGGCTTAGTTTGGGGATGGATAATATATGCTGGAGAATAGATGAAGAGAGTGCAGGGGAGCCTAACTTCAATGAAATATTGGGGGTGGGGGGCTCAGGTAAGCACCATCACGCTTAATCGATCACATGTTGTGGCACATACATGTTGATGGAAATGTCCATCAACTTTGGGGGTCCTGGTCCCCTCAAATATTTTAGGGGGTGGAGAAGGGACCCCAGCCCCTAGGACTTGGCTCCTATGGGAGTTCAATCCTGTTGTGTCTCCTGGGGCTCTCAGAAGCTTTCAGCTAAAGTTAAATGGACTATATTATTTATCTTGTGGTGTCACAGTGGTTCTGATTCTTTCTGAAGGAGCTGTCCTGTCCTGGCAGATGGTGCTGGGGGTCTTTTATTCCCACCCATGACAATTGCCACAAAGTTCCAAAATGTCTCTCGAGCTTTTTAACATCTACATCTATCTGTTGGAGGAAGTCATCTGGAGGTTTGGGTTGAACTTTCACCATTATAGGAATAATACTCAGCAATACCTTTCATTTCCACCTACTAGTCTCAAGGAAACTGGAGAACTCTTGAACCAGTACCTGGAAAGAAATTTGGGGTGGGTGAAGGAACAAAAACCCTGAGTCTACATCTTGACAGGAGAATTGTGAGGTAAGGAAATCAAACACTGTGGGTAGGGGTTTAAAACGGGTGTCAGATGGGGTTGCACACCCCCGAAGGTCCATGTGGACTGAGTAGGAATCTTCCTGGAGCTGCTACTAACTGGGAATACGCAGGTGGAAGTGGTAGCGGCAGCCAGTAACTGGAGGATTCTGCTCTTGCTTTCATTACTACGTACCTGGAACATTCAGGCTAGACTACTGCACTGCTCTCTATGTGGGGCTACCCTTAAAGATGCTTGAGAAATTCCTGCTGCTGTTGAATACAGCCACAGTTGCATACTGAATAAATGGTCAGCAGCACTGGAGGCTACTGCATTTCAAAACTCAATGTAAAATGCTGGGTTTAATCTTCAAAACCTTAAACAGTTTGCACTCAAGCTGCTTGAAGACTACCTTTACCCATATCAGCCTGACCACACTTTAAGGTCAGCAAGAGAGATACTACTCAACAGCCCATCTCAAACAGTTAGATTGGCAGACACTCGGGAGAGGGCATTTTCTACAACGGCTCCACGCCTCTGAAACTTACTGTTATCTGGGGGTCATCCCTATAGGCCTTTAAAAGGTAAAGGGACCCCTGACCATTAGGTCCAGTAGTGGCCAACTCTGGGGTTGCGGCGCTCATCTCGCTTTATTGGCCGAGGGAGCCAGCGTACAGCTTCCGGGTCATGTGGCCAGCATGACTAAGCCGCTTCTGGCGAACGAGAGTAGCGTAATGCCATTTACCTTCCCGCTGGAGCGGTACCTATTTATCTACTTGCACTTTGACGTGCTTTCAAACTGCTAGGTTGGCAGGAGCAGGGACTGAGCAACGGGAGCTCACCCCATCATGGGGATTCAAACTGCCAACCTTCTGATCGGCAAGTCCTAGGCTCTGTGGTTTAACCCACAGCACCTAAAGAGACATTTATTTTACTTAGCTTCAGTTGGAACTGTTACTTTATTGGGAGGCTGGTGGCTTTTAGCTGTATATAGGTATTGGATTTTAATATTTTTGGACTGGGTAGATTTTGTGTGACTGTTGCCTTTTATCAATCAGTTCTGGTTGCCTTTGTTTCTTACTTTAATTGTGTAAATAACTTTCCTAAACTTTTTTGAAACAACAGCAGCAGAAATAAACAAATAAATGGTTTAATAAATAAATGAATGATGCTCAGTTTTAGCCAACACTCAAACTTATGTCTCAGCTATTTCCATTTACCCTGTTTGAAAGAATGGATGGAATTCAGCATTTCAGTTCAAGCCGATTATGTTTCCTACACCTTCCATTTCTGCCATCATGCCATTTCTGAAGAGGAAAAATAGCATTTTGATAAAACGATGTTGTTCTTATTTTATCATTTCCGTAAGCAAGGAGCTTTGGAACATTGCTATGCACACTTTCAGCTGAGCATTGTTGAATGCAAATTCTACATATGCATGACAATCACACCTATAACAATATTTTGTGTGCATGCTGCATAAACATATTTCTAGGCATATCAGAGCCTAGAAAAATGAGGCTGTTTAAAGGCGAAGCTACAACTTGGGCTACAACTTGCAGTTTTGTAAACAGTCAGAGATGATACAGTAACCACTTCTTTTCTATTAAGTTTCATTTACACATAGAAATAATCACTTTTGTTTTGAAGGAAAATGTAGACTTTAAAAATTGGGGGGGGGGGAAGCTTGTGAAGAGTCTTTTTGACAGGATTAGGGCCTTTTGTCAGTTTCCTGCTGGAAATCATCAATTGTGGGCAGCCCTTGAGGAGAAAAGATTTGGGTGAGGAAACTGCATGGGCCCCCAGTGAGGATCCAGAGCACAGTCTGGGTTTGGGATCCACAGCAATTTTTTATTCAAAATAAAAGTGGTCCGTTTAAGTGCACTTTTTAAAACACACACATAAATTAGGGCCAAATAAGAGATGCCATTATTCATGCACTTAACAATTACTAAACAGATAAACAACAGCCATGGGAACTCTAGATGGTGCCTGTGATGTTGGAGGGAGGATGACTTTAACCCTGTACCCATGTCAATGTCACCCCCATGACTGCTGTTTATATTCAGTGGGAAACGCACCTTTGCACCAGTTTCTTCAGATGAAGGAAGAAATTGCTCATCATAATTTTGTTTGACTGCTTTATGATTTAAAAAAAAATCATCAACATGCATCGCTTGACCCTCTCCCCCAGCTTGGCTGCCACTCTTACCAATTACCTTTGTTTCCAAGTCAACAGAAGCTATTTAAAAGTCAACACCACAGTTTCTAAGAACTTGAAGACATTAATCTGACTGTTCCTACCCCAAGTACCCCACCATTTGGGGGGGGGGGGTCTGGCAAATATGGCATTTTTATTAACATGGCAATGCAGAAAATTGCATTTTTAAGATGCTGTTTGACCATCTGAAAGCCATTAGCTGTTCAAAATAACTGCCATGTGATCTCATAAGATAAAAGGACACCAGATTCCTCCAAGGACAACAATCAGGGCACAAAGGACTTGACAGATGTTCACAAACTGCAATAAATTCAAAATTTGGTTTGACAGGGCAGTCCAACATGTGAACAGGATTGCAACCTTACTCTGGTGCACTGAAAGCAACAGAAAATTGTTTTATGTAAATAGACTTGATTCTTCCACTTCAACTTGCTCAGGAATAATGATGAGCATTGGTATTCTAATTCCCAATGATTTGATCATTCTATTACTGTGCTCACCCATTGCATTTAGGAGCAGAAATCCAGTGATATAATCCAAATAAATCCAAATAGAAGAGGTGGAATGGAATCTTGCACAACTTTTAAATGTCACCTCAATCCAGGACTCAATTTTGACTTTCTGAACTGCAAACATTTTCTCATTTTGCTTTATTGTTTTCCACACTCCAAAACTATCTTGCATCTTTCCTGAAATGTATCAATAATTTACCAAAATTGACTGAATCACAATCATACACCTTATTGCTCTGTTCATACTTTTGGAGTAGCTGTAATAGAGTTGGTAAAAGAGCCTAGGCCTGGTTCATGATTAACATATTAGTCTAAATGAAGTTTATCTCCCTTGAGGCAGTTATGTGTGTGGGCTTTCACCATGCAAACTAGCAGAAAGTCAATCCTGTTGCAAACACGTGCTACATATTACCATATTTACATTTTCCTGTTTGGAAAGATGGGAAGCTTGCTGAGGTCCTAGGTTAGGTGAGCTGAGAGTTGAAACCTTAAACCGTTTCATGCTTATTTATTTTATGATCCTATTGGGTCCAGTGTTTATTCAGATTGTTCAACCATCTGGATTAGATAATTTGTTGGAAATTAACAGTGTTTGATGGTTATCAGTCTCAGAGTGATTAAAACTGGTCGAAAATTTATGGAGGCAGGCAGAAATGTCCTACACTGAAACATGGATCCTCCCTCCCTCCCTGAATAAATCCCCTGATTTATGATGAAGTGATAGAGGATCAATGTGAATCTCACCTCTCATCATCCATCAGTTGGATCCCAAGATGGAGGTACAAAATGCTAATGCACAATGCATCATTCTGGACTCTAAAACAATTCAGAATTAGAAGGCTGAATCTCAAACAGCCTTGATAATACTGTAACATTTTATTTGTCTTGCCACCCATATTCTTCCAGTAATCCAGTTTTGATCATATATTGTAAAAAACTAAAGAAATAATGAACATGTATGTGCCATTCAGATGTCTACAGCAGCCTTTCCCTGGTGACTAACACATAGACAACAGTGGTTAGGCTACATTGATCGAGAAATGATTGTTGCTGGTAAAAGGCACTACTAGCCACTAAGATTATCTGGGCCTCTGGTGACAGAGATGGGCCCAGGAGTATTCCCAGACTATGAATGTGCACTTTGGGGGAGTATAACCTCATCCAAAGCAGGCAAATGACTGATTATATGGACTCGATGATCCGATCACAGTACCTCTGGCTTGCCACAATTCAGTCAGGTTACTGGCCCTCATCCAGCCCACTACCAACTTCACACATCAGTCCAGGGCTTGTACAGCTTCTCCCAATTCAGATGTTACAGAGGGTATCAGTAGTGTACTGATGACAGCTCGCCCTCTATGGCCAGTGGTATCAGAAGCTAAGTAAGAAAAACAGAGTTACACTCCCCTTGTCATCCATTTGATAAAATTCATCCATCAGGGTGACCAAGGCTTATTCAGTTCTGTAACCAGGCATGAACCCCAACTGAGTCCCGGCTGACCTCTCAATTAGTGTTTGTTGTATTGGTGATGTATATTACCAAACGTACTTGGGGAGCCATTAACCACAATTACCTGCCTCTATTCTGTTGCATGTCAAGTGGCTTCTGTAGTGTCAGAATGTGCACACAAGAACTAACTGCATCAAACTGGCAAAATCTAGTTCCAGGATTCTACTACAATCAACTCTTGAGACTTTAGAGCCTCGCTGAATTCTCTGCCATTAAAAATCCATATAATCACATAATTAAAGCCCTGAGCATTTGAAAAATTTGCATGCATATTTGCAAATGCTTTTAAGATAATGTTGAATGTATTCACAGAGCTTTTATCCCCAACATACTTTTTTTAGGCACACTTTGCTTGGAAATTGCTACTAGTAAACCAATCATGTGAGATTTTTGTTAAGAGCATGTCATTACGTCAAACCCTCCCAGCAGAGCCTCGGTAAATATATATTCGGCAGCTATTTTGCAGTCATTGACATTTGACAGTGTACTTATATTTCCTCCTCTTAGCATGTTTTTCTCTTGAAGAGCACTTGACCTAGGCCAAAAATATCCCACAACTTTCATCATTATTTACTGAGTGGCAGCAGCACTAAAAAAGAAATTCAGGATTTCACAGGCTGTTAAAGTTTCATGGAAACCTGAGGTCCATTTCTAACACTTAAGTATCTTGTTGGCAAAAAATAAATGTGGCATTGGATTTAATTAGGAGATGTGGTATCACTATTTATGCAGCGAATTCCATGAGGATGTGAAAGTTAAGAGTGCACTTTGCATTGAAAGCTAACCTTTCTTTTGCAGAGAGATAGCAAATGATGTAATGCCATTTCTCTTCATATTAACCCACTGAAAAGTTTTTCCTGTTTTAACTTTCTTAAAATCAAAACCTGATGTTTAGAAAAGATGTACCTAACTTTTCCAAATATTTAGCAGGAACTGCATTATAGAGCAATTTTATATTTGTCCATTTGAAAGCAGGAGCCCAAATATTTATTCCCTCCCCCCCCCCCGTCTTTTATATTTGTTGTCACTAACTTTTGCCCAAACAATCAGCCTCACCCATGGAAGCTTATTTTGACAATTATATTATATGTATATATATTTGACACAAATTAGAATTTTTGACATGTTCATTACCTAAAACTAAAACATAATTAAAACAATGGAAAAGCTAGTGTTGTTACTTCTTTTAGTAATGTACCATTATAATGACTTTTTCTTCTTTATTTGGAATGTCAATTTCAGTTGAAAGAGCTATTGTAGTATTCTGACTATAAGGCTGGGCTAGGGTATGGGAGACCCAAGTTCAAATCTCCACTCAGCCATAAAGTTCACTGGGTAACCTTGAGCTAGTCTCTTTCCCTCAGTCTAATCTACCTCACAGGGTCATTGTGAGGATAAAAGAGGAGGAACTATATTTGCCACCTGGAGCATCTTGGAGAGCAGGATATAAATTTCTGAAAAAAACTTAGACCCATATCCAAAGAGTTCCTTATCTGTGTGCATTGGGACTTTCCCCCAATGGTAGCATCTTGTGTTGCATCAGAGTCTACTTTTAAAGACCTCCCAAGTGTCATTATTGAGCTGTCAAGCGATGAGGGGAGGCTGTGGAAGGCAGGCACATACAGAACTTCCCATGTATCATTGCACCCCTCATAACACATGGTCTCCTCAGGGGCACCTGCAATAGAAAGTCTCTGTCCAGGCATTTTGATAGTTTACCACTGTTAATCACATGAGGTTGCTGTCTAAAGAACTGAAACAGGCAAGGAACAGCTGGCCTCAATATCACTCTTCAGAGCCATTAATTATCCTAGGAAAAACGCATTACGGACAAAAGTGGAACAGTTTCTACAGAGATATCTTATTGATGTGACCACATTCCCCCACTCCCCCCTGCCCAAAGTGATTGGCTTAGAAACGCTTCATTTTGGGGCTGTTTTCATAAGTACACAGCAGGGATGAGAGTGATCCGAGAATCATTTGATACTTTTCTGGAGTTTTTTTTCCATAGTGATGGCAAACACTAGGAGGACACAGCTTAGTGGTATGTAGTAGAAGTTTATGGGTTCAATCCCTGGGATTTCTATCAAGTAGCAGGTGAGAGTCACTGGCCTCTTGAGTCAACAATACTTGGCTAGATGGACAAACAGACTGCTTTCTTTATAATAATGGTTGATTACCTGATCATCAGTTTCTTCTGTCATAACAACAGATTATACAGAAAAGATATTTTTATGATGCAGTTTAGTTCATCCCTTACTATGAGGGAAGATTTGAATTGTGAAGGCTGGTCAAACCTGGTTTTTCTCAGAAGCATCCTAAGCAAACATTAACTACGGAAAGAAAGGCTAGCATGCATCAGTGGCTGTGCAGTGGGGAATTGTGGTTGTCCTATCAGGCAGCCCTTGGGTCTGCAGCTGCTGTTGCTGAATGCCTGGTCATCTCGGAGTAAGACCTCCCTCATCCATGAATTGATTGTGGATGAGGAGGCTGATCTAGTCTGTATCATTGAGATCTTGGTGGGGGAGCAGGGTGGAGTTGGCCTCACCCAGCTATGCCTACCTGGGTTCTCAGTGCAGCAACAGGGCAGCCTTGAGGTTTGGGTAGGGGGAACTGTGGTAGTCTATAGAGATTCCATCTCTTTCTCCAGGCTCTGTGTCCAGTTGGGAGGTGGATCTAGACTATGTGTTCCTGGCATTGGGCAATCAAGACAGCTTTGCTGTTTTACCACCCATCTTGATGCCCAGCCATCTCCCTGCCTGAACTGACATAGCTGGTCTCAGAGGCCATGTTGAGGACTCCCAAACTGCTGGTTCTGGGGAACATCCATGCCAAGCTGGCTGACACTGGGGTGGCTCAGGACTTCATGGCTGCCATGGTAACCATGTGGCTGTCCCAATATGTCACCAGACCAACACATGTGGCAGGCCACTCTCTGGACCTTGTTTTCTCAGTTGGGCAGGAAGACATCAGTCCCTTGTCATGGTCAGATCACTTCCTGTTGAGATTTAGGCTTTCAACACTATTTCCCCTCTGCAAAGGCAGGGGATCAGCCTTCGGAGGCTGATCGATCTAACAAAGGCCAATGAGCCATAGCAACTTTCCAAATGGTGATCCTGGTAGGGTTGCCCTGATTTGACCCATATCATGGAGCAACCCTCAATCCAGGGTCAACTCAGCCCTCCAATCAGCCAGCAGGCTGGCAGTCTAATGCCAGATTTATACCCAATGCCAACACCAAAGAATCATAAAATCATAGAGTTGGAAGGGACCCCTACTTACACCTGTAGTCTAATAAAATAAAAATTGTGGCCTATTTCAACTCAAGTATTATGTCTTATTTCACCTCTTTTCCAGCCTGGCTGGGCTGCATACCTCCTGCAACTCAGTACGCAATGCTATGGAGATTGATCCAAATTTATAACTTTTGCAATGTATTTTCATCAGATATTTTAATTGCTTATCCATAATTGTTTCTTTCTACTTTGGGTGTTTTTTTCACCTTCATCATTTGCATTTCATAATCCAAGATAGAAGGGGTAGTTTTACATAGCAAGTAAATGGGAAGGAGGGGACCACCTTTGTGTCCTATATTGGTTGCCCACCTGCATGATGGTGGCTCAGAATGCTTTGCACTCCCCACTTTCCTGAAACAGCGGAAGTACCTGTGCAACTTTACAGGTGAGCTTCCTTTGGCTATACATACAGTTGAGGAGAACAGCCTTCCAGCTTTTTTGGTTTTTTACTAGATCCCTGAGATTCACCAACCATTGCCAGCTGAAAATACTATGTTGGGACCAGAAATGATTACCTAAAGCACCCTATGAGCTGTAAAGAGGGATTACCTGCAAAAACAAGCTCAGATTGGCATTAGGGTTGCTACAGATCAGGACCTAGACCTATCTTTTGGTGGAGCATATGTACTGCAGCAAGATTATAGCTCTGAGCTGGCTATATGAATCATGAAATTCACATATTATAACACCTTCACTGGCTACTGGCTCATTTCTGGGAACAGGCTATGACCGACAAAGTCTCTCAGGCTCAGTTGGAAGAACATGAGACTCTTAATCCCAGGGTTGTGGATTCATGTCCTGTGTTGGGCAAAAGATTCCTGCATTGCAAGGGGTTGGACTAGATGACACCCGTGGTCCCTTCCAACAATTCTATGATTTGGAACCATAGTATTGGAAATATTGCAGTCCCCCATATGAGCCTGCCCATATATTAAGTTCTTTTGGAGAGGGCCTTCTTTTTGTCCAACCAACATTTGAAGTGTGTTTGCTAGGAAGTCAGTAAAGGCCCTCCTTAATGGCTGCTCCCAGGCTTTGGAACGCCTTGCCAAGGGAGACCCGCTTATCCCCTTTTCTGATAACTTTCTGCTGGTAGGTAAGTATGTTTTTATTCAGACAGGCGTTTGACAAGCTAAGCTGACTTGTTTCGGTCAGCATAAATATGTTTCAGTTTCAATTTGTTCTTGCATTTAATCAGCATGTATTATTCACCTCACTTTGGATTGCTATTTTGTATCTTACATTGCATTTTACTGCTATTGGTTGCCCTGAGAACCATTTGGTGGAAAAGTGGGAAACAAATGTAACAAACAAATAAATAAAAACAATGTTCAATCTCCTGTCTGCAGTTTGGAAGTCCATCCGCAGACACATCAGGTTTCATGTGCTCTGCCTCCAAGCCATGCAATCAGAAGTAAAATCTACCAATTGGATCAGCTTCTTATCACAGCTGAATTGCTTCATTTATTCAATTTATATTTAGATCCTAAGATCTGTGACACTGACACTTTCAAGTACTTGCCTTATTGTTTATTTCAACAAGTTACATACCACTTATCACTATAGCTGCTAAGCAGTATACAATAAGGTTACAAAAGAGAAGCAGAAGATAAAAACTTTTTAAGATTAGCCATAATAATTAAAAATGCTGTCTTAAAATGCTTGATGATTTATTTATTTATTAAGAATTCCCCAAGCCCCCAAAGTCCAACAAGGAGTGGACCTGTCTGATCTCAGCCAGGAGGGAGTTCCACAGAATTGGAACATATCTAATGGTCTGGTTGTGGGATGTGATCCATGAGAGGCAGTCAGATACAA